GATCTCTCTCAGACCCACCTACCTTACTGGGTGCCTGTTGTGGGGAAGGGAAAGGAAAGGAGTTTGTAAGCCGCTCTGAGACTCCTTTGGGTAGTGAAGGGCGGGGTATAAATCCAATCCCTTCTTCCTTTTACTTTATTACGCTCAACTGTATTTTGATAGAGTTTTATTTTACTGTCCTAAATTCAGCTATATGAATGTTATGAATGTTATATTTAAGCATGTGTGTTCTATGGCTTGTTGCCGTTATAAATGCCTGACTGTCTCTTCTTCTTCTTCTTCTTCTTCTTCTTCTTCTTCTTCTTCTTCTTCTTCTTCTTCTTCTTCTTCTTCTTCTTCTTCTTCTTCTTCTTCTTCTTCGTGACTCATAAATGCCTGACTATCTTCTTCTTCGTAATAAATGCCTGACTATCTCTTCTTCTTCTTCTTCTTCTTCTTCTTCTTCTTCTTCTTCTTCTTCTTCTTCTTCTTCTTCTTCTTCTTCTTCTTCTTCTTCTTCTTTCTTCTTCTTTTTTGTTGGAGTGAGTATGCCTGGACACTGGGGGGCGCTACATCACTCTAAGTGTGTATAGGTGTTTTCTCCTTCAATGGGAGGCCTCTCTTTGCCTTAACTAGGGAGCTGCCCTCTGACGCTTCCTTTCTCTTGTTTGTTTGTGAAAAGTACTGGGTTCGCCGCATGGGGGACTCAGACGATGACATGCTGTAGCACACGTTTTTTGTACTTAACACAGACAAAGACTAACTCTAACGGCCCAACAGGGCCAACTATATACATATCCACCCAGCAACCCCCCATTCCCATTGGAGGGTTTGAATGTCCCGCCAAGGTGCCTATTGGTTGGGGCTGGGGGATCCAGGATCCGAAGTTTCCATTGTTCTCGGATCCAAGCTCTGGCCTGTGCTACGGACCCCTGCAGTTTGTTTGTTTAAACGTATGAATTGCCCACCCTGCAAGCAGGCTCTGGGCGATTTCCAGCCTTAAAAGACATTTAAAATACAATTAACATCTAATTAAGGTTACCAACAGTGACACAATAAATTTAAACCAATCCAAGACGGCAATATGGTAATCCTCCTCTGCCGGCCACACCGCTGGGGTCCATGGAAGAGAAAGAGAGGGTGACTGTCTTAGCCACCTGTTAAAGACTGGGTTCAAGATGCATTGCAGTGAACAGCTCTATTTTATTAAGTGATTTCAAGAACAAGACTGAAACTCCAGGGCAATAGCCCTGTTTAAATAGCATGCAAAACCCACACCCGACACACCCAGCTCCCAACAAGAGGTTATCTACATAACATTCGTTTCTCATTGGTCAGTTCCATAAGTCCTGGTGTGGGCTATTGTTCTAGAGCAGGGGTGTCAAACATGTGGCCCGGGGGCCGGATCAGGCCTCCGGAGGTCTTCTATCAGGCCCGCAGTGGAACTGGCTGTCTCCTGCTTCTTCTTCCAGTTCTGCTGCTGCTGCTGCGTCGTTGTAGGTTTGCAGCTTATAGATTACACACCTGAACAGCCATACTCAAGATTACAACAGCACATTTTTATGCCATAATTCAGAGCAAGAGGTGTCAGTGATCAGACACTGTCAAATAAACAAAATATGGCAAGCGTGCTCATGTTTTAAGCCTGTTTTTATTTTAAGTGAAAAATAACCCCTTTGCGTTTGTGTCCTTTATAAAGTTGATATCTCTGCTACCGGGCATGACATTTTATGACACACGTGGCCCGGCCCAACAAGGTCTCATTTATGTCAGATCTGGCCCTCATAACAAATGAGTTCGACACCCCTGGTCTAGAGTTTCAAGCTCAGCCAGTCTGTGGTAGATAGTCCTGGAATGTTCCAGACCTAATACATAACACCCCTAAGTTCCAAAGCACCTTAACACACATCGTCCTTAAGGTACGCAAAGCCTGGAAGACGGAGCTCTTCCGCCAGACCTTTGGTCGAGGCAGCAGACGTCCCCCTCCTTGGGTTCCTCCAGCAGTAGCCTGGGTCCTTTGAGGTCCTACATTCTGAGGATCTCCAAGCAAAAACTTAAATTCAACATCATTAACCGCCAAGACATCTGGTTCTTACTCGTCGTATTATGTGATGCTGTATTGTATTTTAACATGTAAATTGTGTTTTAAATTGTTTTAATTGTATTGTATTGTATTGTCGGAAGCTGCCCTGAGCCCATCCAGGGGAGGGCGGGATATAAATCTGAAAAACGAATTAAATGAATTAGTAACACCGCCCATCACTGTCCTCAACTCAAAGCCCCTCTCTCTTCATAAGAACATAAGAACATAAGAGATGCCAATGTTGGATCAGGCCAAGGCCCATCCAGTCCAACACTCTGAGTCACACAGTGGCCAGAAATACCAGGTGCCCTCAGGAGGTCCACCAGTGGGGCCAGGACATTAGAAGCCCTCCCACTGTTGACCCCCCCCCCCAAACACCAAGATGACAGAGCATCCCTTGCCCCAGAGCCCCTATCTATACCTTGTGGCTAATAGCCACTAATGGACCTCTGCTCCATATGTCTATCTAATTCCCTTTGAAACCGTCCATGCTTGTAGCCACCACCACTTCCTGTGGCAGTGAATTCCATGCGTCAATCACTCTTTGGGTGAAGAAGTACTTCCTTTTATCCGTTCTAACCCGACCGCTCAGCAATTTCATGGAGTGCCCACGAGTTCTTGTATTGTGAGAAAGGGAGAAAAGTACCTCTTTCTCTACCTGCTCTTTCCCATGCATAATCTTATAAACCTCAATCATGTCACCCCTCAGTCGTCGTTTCTCCAAGCTAAAGAGCCCCAAGCGCTTTAACCTTTCCTCATAGGGAAAGTCTTCCAACCCTTTTATCATTCGAGTTGCCCTTTTCTGCACTTTTTCCAAAGCTATAATATCCTTTTTAAGGTGTGGTGACCAGAACTGCACACAGTATTCCAAATGAGGTCGCACCATTGATTTATATAGGGGCATTATTATATTGGCTGATCTGTTTTCAGTACCCTTCCTAATAATCCCCAGCATAGCATTGGCCTTCTTTATTGCAGTCACACACTGTCTCAACATTTTCAGTGAGACATTTTCTCTCTCTCTTCACCTGGCCTTCCGTAGAGAGACATGTCTCTGTAGGCCTCTGCTGTAGAGACAGTGCTCTCATATTCCCACACGCGTGATGCCGGATGAGCTGGCCTTTGGTGGTGGGGAAAAGTACTCTTTAGATAAGGTTCCTTTCTCTCCTCTCGACTGCAACCCAAATGTGAGTTCTATCTACTTGAATAAATGCAAGTTTACCTTTTCTGCAGTATACTTCTTGGGGGATTAATTTACTGCATCAGTATCCCGCTGTCTCTGCTATATTAACTCACTATCCCAATAGTCTTGTGCAGGGGTCTTGTTGTAGAAAAAGAGCTGCCGGAGCTCATTAGCATAACTCATTAGCATAACTTATTTGCATATGCCACGCCCCCTGACATCACCGGAAGTGACAGAAGGCCACACCCCCTGACATCACCGGAAGTGTGTCAGAAGGCCCGGCTACTTACCCTCCTGCTTCATCCTCATTCCCAAACGGAATGAGGATCGAAGCAGAGGGTGGGGTAAAGAAGGGGGCGGGGCTTCACCACGTGACCGCCCCGCCCCCTAGAGGTTCTCTTCCGGAGCTCCGTACCTGAGAGCTCCCCCCCAACTAGAGCCCTGGTCTTGTGATTGTCGGATGCAGACGTTGGCTCCTCTCGGTGTTGGTGGAGTAGCACAGGACTAGCGAGTTTGGTGTCGTGGTTAAGTGCGCGGACTCTAATCTGAGAGAACCGGGTTTGATTCCCCACTCCTCCACTTGCAGCTGCTGGATGACCTTGGGCAAGCCGTTGTTCTGATAAGAGCTGTTCTTGAAAAAAGAGCCGTTTCTGTCAGAGCTCTCTCAACACCACCTACCTCACAGGGTGTCTGTTGTGGGGAGGGGAAGGGGAAGGAGTTTGTAAGCCGCTCTGAGACTCCTTTGGGTAGTGAAGGGCGGGGTATAAATCCAATCTCTTCTCTTCTTCTTCTTCTAATACCTAATAGCACAAAATTGGAAATTGATTAAAATACCTACCTTAAAACAACGGATATCAAAAGTATGGGACGTCGCCGTCTCAGACAAATGAGCGACACAATTACTGACAATGGACACTCCGTCACGAGTAAACAATTTCATGGATAAACGGCTTACTTTCTCTGAATAGGTATCCTCAAACCTGATACAACTATATAAACTGCCCCCAAAATATATGGGTTTTGTGTTTTATCAATAAGATCAGAAGTTATATATCAGTCTGTAGCGGTATGCATGGTGAGCTTGTTTTATGGGTTTTTTTACTGTTCTTATTATTGTTTTCCTGATTTTATTGTTTGTCATGTTAGGAACTCTTTGTTCTGGTTCCCTTCTTTTTTTGAAGTTCATTGAGAGTAAGTCTGTTAAATGATACTCGCAGATAGTTTTGTGATGTTGACATACAAGTCAAATAGTTCAGGTGATTCGACTGTGGCTCAAGTGGTTAAGACGCTGAACTGCAGGCTGTGGAAGGTCGGTAGTTCAGCAGTTCGAGACCCGAGTGTGCCACATGACAGAGTGAGCTCCCGTCTCTAGTTCCAGCTCCTGCCAACCTAGCAGTTCGAAAGCAAGACATTGCAAGTAGATAAATAGGTACCACTTCAGTGGGAAGGTAACAGCGTTCCATGCGCCTTGGTGTTTAGTCATGCCGGCCACATGACCACGGAAATGTCTTCGGACAGCACTGGCTCTTCGGCTTTGAAACTGAGATGAGCACCACATCCCTAGAGTCGGATTCGACTGGCTTTCGAGCAAGGGAAGCTTTACCTTTACACTGTTACATTGAAATAAAAATAAAAAATGTTAATTCTTTAAAAAACCAAACCAAAACTCTGCTTTCCTGTTACATTGAAATAAAAATAAAAAATGTTTATTCTTTAAAAAACCAAACCAAAACTCTGCTTTCCTGTTCTTTGCAGGGCCTTCGGCCATGAAGAAGACGCATACGTGTGAGTACCGATCCTCTCTCTTGAGTCCTTCGTCGGTGTGGTTCGAAGGACCATGTCCCTTTTTATTCTTACTTTTTAAAGACTGTGGCATTGTTAAGATACTGGCTGTCCCGCCTTTCCAACCCCTAGCAGTGTGTAGCGCAGGGGTCCCCCACCAAATGTTTTTATGAGGTGGGTGGGGCAAGGCAGGGAGTTTCCCCCAACAAGGCTTCCGATTGGCTATTGGAGGTTTGATTGGCGGTGCGGATTTTTTTAAAATGTCGCTTTGGCAGCAGCTGCCACCAGGGCACAAGGTTCTGCACCGTGTGACTGAAGCTAAGCCGTGGCCATCATTTTGATTTGATTTAATTGATTTGATGTATACACCGCCCTCCCCGCCGAGGCAGGCTCAGGGCGGCTTACAAGGCCATTGGCGATAAAAACATTAAAACGATAAAACGGTAATATCATAAAAACACAGTAGTATCAAAAAAACACAAGATGCTATATATATATTTGTGATGGCAAGGAACTGGAGAGCCAGTTTGGTGTCGTGGTTAGGAGCGCGGACTCTAATCTGGAAGAACCGACTTTGATTCCCACTCCTCCACATGCAGCTGCTGGTGTGACCTTGGGCCAATCATAAGTTCTTTCAGAGCGGTACTCTCAAGGGCAGTTCTCAAAAGAGCGCTCTCAGGCCCACCTACCTCACAGGGTTTCTGTTGTGGGGAGGGGAAGGGAAGGGGAGGGGATTGTAAGCCACTCTGAGACTCTTTCAGATAGTGAAGGGCGGGGTATAAATCTAATCTCCTCTTCCTCCTCCTCCTCCTCCTTCTCAGCTGCAGTAGAGTCAGCACGAGTTGTGCGGCTGGTGTTTGGCTCCTGTGCGTGTCATTCCTCCGTATAGATGAGCCAGTTTGGTGTAGTGGTTAAGTGTGCGGACTCTAATCTGGGAGAACTGGGTTTGATTCCCCACTCCTCCACTTGCAACTGCTGGATGACCTTGGGCAAGCCGTAGTTCTGATAAGAGCTGTCCTTGAAAAAGAGCAGTTTCTGTCAAGAGCTCTCTCAGTCCCACCTACCTCACAGGCAATGTTCCCTCTAAGCTGTGGAGTCTTGTGAGCGAAGATTCTACTTCATGAGCTACTGGCAATAAAGTTGTGAGCGGGCGATTTGGCTACTGCATAAATTAGTTTGCTCTGGAGCTGTCCTTTCTGAGCGAAGGCAAAATTGTGTGAGCCGGAGGCTAACAAACTGTGAGCTAGCTCACACTAACTCAGCTTAGAGGGAACACTACTCACAGGGTGTCTGTTGTGGGGAGGGGAAGGGGAAGGAGTTTGTAAGCCGCTCTGAGACACCTTCGGGTAGTGAAGGGCGGGGTATAAATCCAATCTCTTCTTCTTCTTCTTTTTGTTTTTGTTCTTCTTCTGCTGCTATTTGTTTCTACATGGGTCAGCGTCCTGGCCGTGCCTCGGAAATGCTGGCTAAGCCAGTTTAGTGACTCATGCAGAGATGCAACTGGCAGACTCTTCCAGGGCTCAACAAGCCCCCTGCATCTTTGCAACAGCAGTGACTGGAGACTCTGAGGCAGGCGGGGAGGCCGGCACAGCAGATCGTGCAGGGGTGCAACGAGCGGGCTCCTTCGTGGGTAGCTACTTTCTGACAATGTTTATTTGTCACAATGCCCCAATTTGGGGTTCTTTCCCCCCCAAAAAACTATAGAAGCAACAAAAGCCAGTTGCTTCGAGCGGAACTCTTTTCTCTGACGCTCTGCTGTGGTTTCGCATGCACCATCCTTGACTTAAATGGTGGTGGGGATGTACCTGGGCCGTGAAAACCAGAGGTTTTTCCAGGGCTGGCTGGAGAAATTATTTTTCCCATCCCTAAAACCTTATCTGTGTAAGTCAGAGTCTCAACTGTATGCCGCAGCCTCACTAGAAATTATAACCTAATTTTCCACCAAGTGTCTTTATATATATAATGCCCCTGTATAAATCGATGGTGCGACCTCATTTGGAGTATTGTGTACGGTTCTGGTCACCACACCTCAGAAAGGATATTCCAGCATTGGGAAAAGTGCAGAAAAGGGCAACTAGAATGATAAAAGAGTTGGAACACTTTCCCTATGAGGAAAGGTTAAAGCGCTTGGAGCTCTTTAGCTTGGAGGAACAACAGTGGAGGGGGGTGACATGATCAAGGTTTACAAGATGATGCATGGGATAGAGCAGGTCGAGAAAGAAGTCCCTTTCTCCCTTTCTCACAAGACAAGGACCCGTGGCGGGCACTCCATGGCATTGCTGAGCAGTTGGGTTAGAATGCATAAAAGGAAGTCCTTCTTCACCCAGAGAGTGATTAACACATGGAATTCACTGCCACAGGAGGTGGCAGCAGCTACAAGCATGGACGGCTTCAAGAGGGAATTAGATATGCATATGGAGCAGAGGTCCATCAGTGGCTATGAGCCACAAGGAACTCACAGGGTGGGGCAAGGGATACTCTGTATTCTTGGCGTCTGGGGGGGCACAGTGGGGGGGGGGCTTCTGGAGTTCTGGCCCCACTGCTGGACCTCCTGATGGCACCTGGTATTTCTGGCCACTGTGTGACACAGAGTGTTGGACTGGATGGGCCACTGGCCTGATCCAACATTGGCTTCTCTTATGTTCTTATATATATTTTCAAATACCTGAAAACGACCAGAAACCACCTTTTCCCCTAGCCAAAAGAACACCTTCTTCTCTATGGTAATCTCAGGTGCTTTCTCCAGCCTTACGTCCAAGGGGTGCCTTCTAGAGTCGAGATTTTCAGACTTGTTCCCTCAGGGAACCCTGGCTTGGAATGACACCGTGTCGCAAAGGATTCTGGGCCTCAGTCCTCCTCATGCCAGGAAATGAGTAGGCCTCATCCTGATGCTAACCTGTGTGGAATGAAGCCAGAGTCATGCCGTTTAAAATCCATGTGTCGTTCCCACCCACCCCCCATGCAGGCTTTTGGCAAATGTGTTTTGGAAGTTTCTAGCTGGGAACTTAATTCCGAGGCGCATGTGACCACGTCGCATGAGAAGAGCAGCAAGTTCGGGACAGATGAAAAGAAAGACTGCTTTACACAGCGAGTGATCAAAATGGGGGATTCGCTGCCAGAGGATGTGGTGAGAGCCACAGGAGTAAACAGCTTTAAAAGGGGTTGAGATAGATTCATGGAGAAGAAGTCTATCAATGGCTACTAGCCTCAGTGGCTGAGGGGAACCTCCACCTTTAGAGGTAGTTATCCTCTGAAGCCCAGTGCCAGGAGGCCACCTCAGGGGAAGGCCTCAGCCTCTTTGCCTTGCTTGTTGGCCTTCCAGAGGAACCGGTTGGCCCCTGTGTGAGACAGGAGGCTGGACTGGATGGACCCTCACTGGTCTGACCCAGCAGGGCTCTTCTGAGGTTCTTCTCAGGGGAAGGCCTCGGCCTCTCTGCCCTGTTATTGGCCCTCCAGAGGAACCGGTTGGCCCCTGTGTGAGACAGGAGGCTGGACTGGATGGACCCTCACTGGTCTGACCCAGCAGGGCTCTTCTGAGGTTCTTCTCAGGGGAAGGCCTCGGCCTCTCTGCCCTGTTATTGGCCCTCCAGAGGAACCGGTTGGCCCCTGTGTGAGACAGGAGGCTGGACTGGATGGACCCTCACTGGTCTGACCCAGCAGGGCTCTTCTGAGGTTCTTCTCAGGGGAAGGCCTCGGCCTCTCTGCCCTGTTATTGGCCCTCCAGAGGAACCGGTTGGCCCCTGTGTGAGACAGGAGGCTGGACTGGATGGACCCTCACTGGTCTGACCCAGCAGGGCTCTTCTGAGGTTCTTCTCAGGGGAAGGCCTCGGCCTCTCTGCCCTGTTATTGGCCCTCCAGAGGAACCGGTTGGCCCCTGTGTGAGACAGGAGGCTGGACTGGATGGACCCTCACTGGTCTGACCCAGCAGGGCTCTTCTGAGGTTCTTCTCAGGGGAAGGCCTCGGCCTCTCTGCCCTGTTTGGGGAAGGCCTCGGCCTGTTTGGGGAAGGCCTCGGCCTCTCTGCCCTGTTGTTGGCCCTCCAGAATAACTGGCTGGCCCCTCTGTGAGACAGGATGCTGGACTAGATGGACCCTTACTGGACTGATCCAGCAGGGCTCTTCTGAGGTTCTTCTCAGGGGAAGGCCTCGGCCTCTCTGCCCTGTTGTTGGCCCTCCAGAGGAACTGGCTGGCCCCTGTGTGAGACAGGAGGCTGGACTGGATGGACCCTCACTGCTCTCATCCAGCAGGGCTCTTCTGAGGTTCTTCTCAGGGGAAGGTCTCGGCCTCTCTGCCCTGTTGTGGGCCCTCCAGAGGAACTGGCTGGCCCCCATGTGATGAGGCAGGATGCTGGACTGGATGGACCACTGGTCTGATCCAGCAGGGCTCTTCTGAGGTTCTTCTCAGGGGAAGGCCTCGGCCTCTCTGCCCTGTTGTTGGCCCTCCAGAGGAACTGGCTGGCCCCTGTGTGAGACAGGAGGCTGGACTGGATGGACCCTCACTGCTCTCATCCAGCAGGGCTCTTCTGAGGTTCTTCTCAGGGGAAGGTCTCGGCCTCTCTGCCCTGTTGTGGGCCCTCCAGAGGAACTGGCTGGCCCCTATGTGAGGCAGGATGCTGGACTGGATGGACCCTCACTGGTCTGATCCAGGAGGGCTCTTCTGAGGTTCTTCTCAGGGGAAGGCCTCGGCCTCTCTGCCCTGTTGTTGGCCCTCCAGAGGAATTGGTTGGCCCCTGTGTGAGATGGGATGCTGGACTGGATGGACCCTCACTGGTCTGACCCAGCAGGGCTCTTCTGGTGTTCTTCTCAGGGGAAGGCCTCGGCCTCTCTGCCCCGTTGTTGGCCCTCCAGAGGAACTGGCTGGCCCCTGTGTGAGGCAGGATGCTGGACTGGATGGACCACTGGTCTGATCCAGCAGGGCTCTTCTGATGTTCTTAAGGGGTTCAGCCCTAGCGTTGCCAGCCATGAAGTAGTGGCTGGAGATCTTTAGGGATGACAACTGATATC